AAACCCATTACCAGCAAGAATTTTCAATAATGTGTCTCCCCGTACTCCATCTTTTTATTTTGCTGTGTCTTCTTATTTTCCAAAGATATTTGACAATTGATGGGTTGAAATAATATCTCCGTTTACCTTGGAGAAGTCTCTCCAGTGTAAATAAAAATCAAGTTTTATTCATTGAATTGATACTGGGAAAAGGTTGAACTATTATCTGTTGCAAAGTGCTAAAGCTCTTGGGCTTTGAGGTATCTAGAGAGATGGAGATCATTGCTGAATATAGACATAGACAGTTTAATATAATTTCATAGGGTATATGTTGTTTCAGCTTTGCAGATTAGTCTGTTAATCATTTATTTACTGACCTGTTTGATTCATTGCTACAAACAGGTATGGAGAATCTGTTGAGCACATGAATGTTAAGGAGTTGGAGAAAGGAAAGCAATGGCTCAGTGATACATTTTCCCTAATAAGGTTACTCCAAATACTTAATTGTGTTATGTGTTTTCCTTATGTGATGTTGATACTGTTCTTCACTGGAATGAGCCGAAGTTGCTGTGAGAAACTGCAGGCATTTTGTAGGCAAAAACCTAATCAATCTTTCCTTTGTTTTCTGGACATATGCGGATTGCACTGTCTTACACAGTAGGTCAATGTGAAACAAATCCTTGTGCCACTGATTAGTTCTATTTATATGCTTGGGAGCATAAACCCATGTCAATAATTTAGCTAAGAGTTGCTGCTCTGGATGGATTTAATTTAATAAAATAATTGTTGCCAAGGTAATAAAGTTTTCGGAGAAGTTGCATAAAAAGGCGCTTTAGAAACTTAAGGAATAGATGAGTTGATGAAATTTTGCCCAGAATGGATTTGCAATGAAGTTCCATTGAAGTGGAATTGTTAATATTATGCGACAGTTGAACATTATTATGTTACATATTCAGTATTAATGATTGTTTTGTGAAAGATTGTTCAGATTGGAAAAAGTTATGAAATTGTTCCCTATCTGACTAGGGTGTCACACTATGTATGCGTGTGCGTGGGTAAACTGCATGTCGTGCTTTCGTGTATACAAAATACCTTATACAGATAAAGTATCCTCATGGATAAAAACCTTCAATGCTCAAGGTGCTGAGGTTTGTCAGCACATTCCTTATCCGTGGAGCGTTGAGTATTGTTCTTATCTTTGGCGATGTAAGATCAACGGTTTCTTTTCAATCCAGCTTTATCTCATAGCAACTCCCATCCTAAGAGTGGGTCCCATTTCGAAGGGTCCGGTGTTCAGCCAATGGGATCCATTTCTGTGTTCTTGACTTGGTCGTTTGTAACTTTCATTGGACTAGCACGAGCACGTGATCATGTGTTAACACTGTTAGATAATTAAGAACTTGTCAATTTACATTAGATTTTTGGTACATGGAAATTTGATGCTCCAATTCATTTCTTGACTAATGATGCTAAATTATCCACATTCGGGTAATTATTGTCAACTTTCTATTGATCACGTGTTTCTTCCAACCAAAGACTTGGTTAAAACATTAATTAATAAAATTTAAGATTCAAATTGTGGTCATCCGTGACTTTGCAATTTCAATTTATTGACCATGGAAACTGGAAACTGCAGTCCTGTGATTGCGCAGCACTAAACAATTTACGAGAAAAAATGCAGTAGACCTTTTAACCTTTCGAATTGAGTTGGACAGTTTTTTGCTATTTGAAAGTTAAAAAGGAATAATATTATTTATTAGAATATCGGTGATGTGACAATCGACGTAGAATAACGTGATTGAACAGTTTAATTTTTACGAGAGAGAGGAGGAAAGAGATAAAGAAATGTGAGCGATAATGAATTGTCACATCATCGATATTCCTTTATCATGATGGTAAATATCATTACTCATAAAAAAAGTCGTGAAATGCAAATCAAACTCGAGTCTGCATTCTCCGTCCCAGCACCCCCCATTCCCTGCCACTGGTTTTTCACCCTACT